TATATATATATATATATATATATATATATATATATATATATAGCAGCATGAAGTGAAATTTCTATTCAATTAGGTTTAATTCAAATTATATGTCTTATTAGGTTTATATTATACATTCACAATTTAGAAGTTTTACATATTTTTGACTTAATTCAAGTTAAAATTAATGTTTTCTATAAAATCTGAATTAGAACTAAAGAAAAAAGTGATAAATTCAGCTGTATTTTTTTTGTTTTTGTTTTGAAAACAGACATTTAGCAGATGAAAAACTGCTATCTCAATACCACTGAAGCTATCATCTTATTGTTTTTAAATAATTAGTAAAATGAAATATATCCAAAGGACCTATCAGTAACCATGTCTGTTCCAGTGCATATCATCATTAGAATTTCTTTTAGTATTATGTCTTCAGTAAAGGGGCCAGGTCGTGATCTACAGGGGCACTGGCCCCCGTTGCCCCCTGTCTAGAACTGCCCATGCCTCAGGGTCATGCCTAAGATGAGAATAACTACTTTCCTACAGCCTTTACTAACAAATAGACGCATATATTTAAACATCTGTGCTTTCTAGATAAAAGGTTTAGTGGATAAAATACTTTCAGGTTTGAGTTCTGGGGCAAACAACTTTTCCATTGTCATTACTTACCTACTTTTATCAATAATAACTCGGCTTAAAATTGATATTTACAAGTGCTAATATCTACATAAAAAGTTTTTATTAAAACAGTTATTTATCTATGATTTCACTGAAGACTCGTAGATGACTTGCAGAGATGCATTTTCTCTTTACCCCATATAACACAAAATCTAGTTCTGAAAAGAGCATGAATTCTGTCCCCATCATCTTTATTGTTAGTATATTGATGTGTATAATTAACCACAGTGTTTTTGTTGTCAAGAAATTACATGAAAAAATAGTAAGTAATATATAAAAAAATTAAAATGAAGATTCCACCTGATAGTATTACTGCTGCCACCATCTGTATTAGAGGGAAAAGAATGGTAGGGGTGGCCAATGATTTGCTTAGGGTGGCCATGGCAATCCCTGTCCCCCCATCTAGCTCCGCTCCTGCTCCTATATTCTCTGTCTTTTTTATTTTGAAATAATTAACTACATGTGTAATGATTAAGCTAAAACAGAAAGAAAATTAAATGTCAAATTAATAAAATAGGTGTGGTCCTTTGGTTAGGCTATGTGTAGCAAGGAGTATGGTTTTGTTCATATGATTTAAGAAGAACATTTAAAATAGCTATAAAAGAATTATATAATAAAAAGAAAAACATATGTAATGTTTAGACTATATTTCACATCACAATAATAAAACAAATAAATAATTTGTATAGATACAACTAATAAAACATCATCACCAAATAATTATAATATAGTTATGATGGTATGAGCAATAATACCATCAATACCACCAATAATGTCCTCTGACCGGGCCAGCAAAGGTACAGAGGGCACCTTCTTTACCTTTGCTGCCATTATCTGAGGGCACAGTTTCAATAATAATATTACATCCATTCAGCCCATCTCACCCAATGATAATGATGTCCACTCTCTATGATATGTTTCCAAATTAGATATTTTGATACTTTATGAAAACATAATCTTGAGTAATGCATTTATCGGACACAGCAAAATAAGATGTGAATCCCACTTTAACAATACTTACCTTATCGTTTGTGTAATACAGAGCTTTCCTCCCTTTTTTTTATTATCTTCCTTTTCTTTTTTCTGTTGTCTGCTTTTGTTTGGTTTAAGCTTTATTTAATGGTGTCATGAAAAAAGGACAGTATCATAGCTGGACAACCATAGTCATGTAGAAGCACACTGGACAGCCCCATTTTTAGCTAAAAAGAAAACAGTTTTCATTATTTATCCAGTGCAAAAGGAATCTGTGACAAAAAACAACGCAGCATGTGTGTGGAAGATCAGGCAGTTAACGAGAAGATGTAATCAGTATCTAGAAACTGATTTGGAAAAACAAAGTCATTTTATTTACTGGTTAATAACACAGATCAATAAAATATATTAGTAAATATGGCTTTATACATTGACTGTAGATAATTTAAGTCTTTCGGAACATGTGCACACCATCGCCCCAGGGGTTATTTTGGGGGATTCCAAACATTGGGTTCCATATATTGATTAATATAGCAGACTTTTTTTTATTTTTTCATCTTTTTCCTAAAAGCATGCCTTCCAGATAAATACATACCTTCAGTGAGTGATTTCCAGGTAAGAGTCGTTGTTTTCTTGGCAATATTTAAAGAAACAATCAGGGGATTTATATATTAATCTGGAAATGTTTTAATTTCAGTATGAATGCTAAGTAAACAACAGGTTAGGGAAGCCGGGACTCTGCAACTACAAACGGCAGAGACATTTTCAGTTTATGATATCCTGATTAGATCAACAGATGTGCAGGTCAAAGTGGTTTTAAAGTATTGCTGATGCTGTTTGAGACATATGGTGTGCATTTTGTGTGTCAGAATCAGCAAAATTGCTACCTTAAGCATTTATTTGAGCAATGTGGTTTCTGTGAATTCTTATATACCATATAAGTTGTAAGTCAGTTACGCGGGCAAAAAATATCTTATCGATTTTGATCTAAAGGTCTGAGTTGGAAGAAAAGGCCAGAACAGTTTCCCATGTCTTGTTCTGAAACTGCTGATGTTATGTCTGAGGTGCATATTAATCTATACAGTTTGCATAATAACAGTAATTTATATTAATTAATCTCATAATTTGGGTGGTTCTAATGAATTGCTAACAAAGTCTGTTTTGAATTTACCTATGTGTTTTAGTTGTTGATATAATGGAGAAGCTCTTCTGTCCTTACTCCAAACATCTGGACCAAATCACTGAAATCTATAAATTCATTACTCTGAAATAGATGTAAGAGGGGGAGTGATCCCTTTTTGCCAATGTTGAATAGTAGAGTGGTTTATTTAGTGCTTGAAAGTCAGGGCTGTGCCATATTGGAATATTCTCACTAAATCTTAATGACATTTTGGCGATTCCTTTAACTTTCCACCATGCTGTCAGAGTACTTTATTGTCTGTGTAACATCTATATTCTCAAAAACAAGTTACCTCGCACATTCCATTGCAGGACTTATGAGACAACACATTAGAAAAGACAGATTTTTTCTTTTTGCATTGTTAGCAGTCCTTTAAGTACTTCTTTAATGGTGCCTACTCTAAAAGGCAGAAGCTAGAACAGATTAGAATACAATTTAACTTTATTGTCATTACACTGTCACAAGTAAAAATCAACAAAATTAACTCTGCATTTAATGCATCTCCTTGGGGAGCAGTGGGCTTTTATTGTGCGGCTCCCGGGGTGCAGTGTGGGGGTTAAGCGTCTTGCTCAGGGACCCAGAGTGGCAGTCTGTGGGAGTGCGGCAAAAGCTTCACATTATGTATTAAATAAAGACCTCAAAGGATGTTTATGAAGATGAAAAAGGTAGACCACAATAGCAAATGTGTTGCTGAAGATCTTCAGTGATCAAATGGTGGAAAAAAATTCAATAGTCTTGTCAATGTCTTCTATTAAGATAATGCTGCTTCCTTCAGAATGGCTACCACTCCTGCCATTTCAGCTCCATATGATCACAGATGCTTTATGCTCCTACTTAGGACATCATGTATGCGCCTAAATTTAGCCTATTTCATCACAAATTTCTTAGGCTACACTGGTAGGACAAAGGTTTACTGATATACAATAAACAAGAAAGTTTTCCATCTAAGCTAAAGTAGTTCACAGCTGATTTTCTCTTAAAGTTAACATGGTATGGCTCTCAAGACTTCAGCAACATGTTAGTTCCCCTTAAGGCTACTATTTTTGTAAAAGACTGAGTTTCTAGCAGAAAATGGCTTTATCCATAAAATCTCTCATTAAACATCTGAAGGTACTTCAGCTTCCTTCAAAAGTCAAAATCCATGAATCTAAGATGTCTCAGTCAAACTAAATTGTCCTGAGATAATCAGAATTGACCCATTATAGTAAAGACAATGAATGGAAAAATAAATGAATAAGCTTGAAATCTAAGAGATATGACAACAGAATTCTAAGCTACCTCAAGTAACAAAGTTGAACTGTCCAAATTAGGTTGTGGGGAAAAGTCTGCCTATTTTATTATTTATAAATCATACAGGAGCAAAAATCAATAACTTCACACATCTTTATGCTTTTATTGTCTCAGGTGTCTTGGTTGTTCATTTTTAGCTTTGTGAAATAAAGGAAGGGATTTCAGGCATTAAAATAGATGACAGATTAAGTAATACAAGAAAAAACATAGGCAGCTTTAAAACAGTTGTGTATGAAAATAAAAATACTTTTTTCACCTACAATATTGTATTTTGGAATAATCATGTTCTGCTACATATGAAATTACCTACCTAATTCTAACTAATATTGTCTGCCCTTAAAGAACAGAATTGCTACATAGATTATCTGTTGTTGGAACATATTCGTCTTGGACAGGTCATATCTACCCAGACTTTACTTTTTTCTCTCATATGATACTGTCGTCGTTTAGTTAGTTAATGTGTTTGCCTTGCATTGTTGTAGAAGTTTAGAGAATCCCATATCTTATAAAAGATCAGAATATAAGAAATATTTTATGAAATACAATCTGTTTGAACCTTTTTAACCTCAAATTCTGAAAAAAAAAAACATCACTTATTTTTTATAAATGATTACCAAGTAAAAAATCTGCTAATATTGTACAGAAGAAACAAAGTATGAAATATTAAACAATGCTGTCTTTTCTCAAATACTATTTACAGATATACATGAACAGAACTGGCTGCACCAAATACAAAATATTACAGCCTACAGACATAACTACAATCTCTTGATACTTCCGTACCAAATCCCAGTCGGTACAGTAGTAGAATAGCTTTGTTCTGCATTGGGTACCACATGATTTAAAGTAACTCAAAAGACTAATGGGTACCAAGTTGTACTATTTAGAAATATCTGCCAGTGTCCGTGATGCCTGTATGAGCCAGCTTGAGTTTTCAGTCTTTAAGTCTTGCAGATCCTTCAGCTCCAGCTCCTTGCACAGAGGAAGTCTTAGATGGACACTATAAAACTGGAACCACCACTATGAAGACAGAACACAACATGTAATTAATATGTTTCTTAATGTTTTTTGCTTTGCCCTCAGCAGAGGAATAAAACCTAGATAGAAATGATAGGACAATGGAAGAAGATAAATATAGGAGGAGAAACAAAGAGAGCCTCTTAGAAAGTCTTGAGACTGGGGAAGAAAATTCAAGTTATGGTCAGATAATTGCACTATACTGTACATACAGCCAGTGCTACAACAGATTTGTTTAGGTCAAAGCATCAGTTGTTGTTTTGGACACAAAGCCAGAGGGGCCAGACTGAGATGGTTTAGACATTTACAAAGTATATAAAGAGTATGTCAATAGAAAGATTTTAAGGCTGGAACTCCCAGGCAGGAGGCCTAGAGGAAGACCAAGGAGAAATGAAAGAGAACACGAAGGCAGCTGGTGTAACACAAAAAAAAATGTAAACAACGGGGTCACATGGACACGAGTGGCTTGCTTTGGCAATCCCTTAAAGAGAACATTCGAAACAAGATTTTACATCCAAAGCCAGAATTTTTTCAATTCAATTCAATTCAGTTTATTTATGAAGCACACTCCAATTCACAACACGTCATCTCAAAGGCACTTTACAATTCAACCAGATCATACAGTCAAATTGATTCAAAGTTTTCTATCTAAGGAAAACCAGTTGATTGCATTGACTTACGGCCTCAAAGGCAATCTCTCACACTTAGCATGCTTGTAGCGACAGTTGTGAGGAAAAACTCTCTTTTAACAAGAAGAAACCAGGCTCTGTGTGAGCGGCCATTTGCTGATGCAGACTGGGGTTTAAGGAGACAGAGACAGACATATAGAAAGAAGCAGATATACAAAGGCAACTCTAAACCAGCTCCACTGGCAGCCCCTCCAGGAAACACATAGCAGGGCAGACAAGCTCCGGCCAGCTCCCATGTCAAAGAATGAAGAGAGCACATCCAGCCAGTCAAAGTTAGGGAAACAGGACTACACTGTAAAAACAGGCAGATCTCGAACATCTATAAACAAGGGTGTTGATGAGAGCAGCACAGCTGATATTTCTCTCCAGGATGGTGTCACAGCCAAATAGGAACATGCAATAAAAAAGCTACTATGAGAAAAAGCAGAGAGAGCATAGTGTTAGAGATTGTACTAAGAAATTCTACAGAGTGGGAGAATAGAAAATGGTGAAAAAGGGGTCCCTATGTCCTCCAGCAGTCTAACCCTATAGCAGCATAACTATAGAGATAACTCAGGATAACCTGAGCAACTCTAACTATCTAACTAAAAGACCTACGTACAAGTACAGTCTTGATTAAAGGGGTCATAGAATCATTATATAGGGCATTTGGTGCTGGTCCTTAAGGTCTTTGAATAGGGTGTGTACCATTGGTTGGGCTGAAAATGGTCTATTTGCTGTTCTATGCGCCCTAATGCAAGCCTGGTTAAAAGCCCTAGAATGAAACAAGAGGTTTTCTTCCTTTTATGGTATGCTCATGAATATTTAGATGAGCCGTGCGCTGATTGGTTGGTTTAGAACGAGCAAAGATGCTGAGCAAAGATGCATCATAGCAACAAGAACTCACACACTGAAACATCAAAATTGTTGATATGGTAGGGTGACCAGACGTCCCCTTTTTCCCGGACATTTCCTACTTTTCATACCTAAAAAAATTTCCGGGAGGAATTTCAAAATCGTCCAGGATTTGGTCTACTACAGTACAGCAGGACCGAGCCGTGAGCTCTGGTGCTGGTCCGGTGCAGGGAGCCAGTGGGGGACAGAGTGCCTGAACCCGCTTGTTGACGGAGGCCAGGACGCAGGCTGACCCATGCATCCCCCCGCCTGCCTTACCGGCCCCCAGCCCCTTCCTCCAGCTGAGTATGGGCAGCTCATGGCTCTCTGCTGAGGTCCAGTCCAGTCAGCGGCCAAGCAGTCAACCGTTCATCCCCGCCCCTCCAGGGCATGACAAAAGTACAGGCCAGAACCAAATAAGACAACATCCCAGAGTTTACATCAACTCAGGGCTTCGTTTGAATTGGCCCGTTTTATGGTGGAAGTTTAGAATTGTGAGATTTGTAGAGAAAGGAGGTGTCGATGGGGTTTGAACTTCTCTGTACATCCATTTCACCCACTGAACTATCGTTATTCATCTATGACAATCTAAACATGGTTTTGCATTCTATTACCCCTTTAAACGTTTAAATTATGTCTGCTGAAGATGGAAAAAAAGCAAAAGAAAACAAACATGTAATATTTTTGAAACAGTTTAGTTTCAATTTCCAAATGCTCAGATTTTAAGAAGGTACTCACACTCAGAAGTCCGTTCACAGATGAATCCTATGCGGTCTGTGCAGTAGAAATCGTTCCATTTAGCATGTTGGATAAGACCTGCACAATCTTCACCATTTACATGACCATGAGTCCAGTTATCTGGCTGACCAGGTTTCCAGTTTCTGGTGGTAATAAAAAGGCAAATTGGTTAAATTTATTTATGCAAAGAGAAATTAAAATAAGAAGTGAAAAAAAAAAACCACCCAACTCACGTAAACACTGGTATGGTTCCATCCACCCACTTCCAGACATTTTCCTCCTCCTTGTCAGTAAGACCCAACCAGAAATATCCCTTGTTTAAGACTGAATTTTTTATAAATTGCTGGACAAAAAGCACAAGAGAGATAAATAATTTAAACAATAACGTGAAATAACTGGTCTGATTATCTGAATGTATTGGTATATTCACCTGCTCTTCATTGTCATTGATGATGAGCAAATGGGAGGACATGTTTTTACAGAACTTGCTTGCTTCATTAAAGTTAAGTCTTTGGGAACTAGAAGAGAAGTAATAGCAGCTGTTCCCAAACCCTCGGAATTCCGGAGGACAACCTGGAAGAAATAAATATTCATTTTTACAAGTGTAGATACAAACAGTTTTTGTCAGGGTAAAAATTCTTGCCATTACATTTACCAATGTTTTGTTGTAATAATCATCTCCAGTATTTTTGATTATATGAAATGTTAAATTCTTTAAGAGATACAAGTTTTCCATTTCACAGTGCTGAAAGATAGGTTTCATATTGTTGGTGTGTAAAGTTGAACTCACCAGGTGTGGGAGTGGAAACAGCAGCTGGAGGTTGTTCTTGTCTTGATGCAGAGGTTCTCGATTTTTCTGTTGTTACTGGAGCTAAACTTGGTATAGGAGCTTCGACAACATGGGGGGCACTGGAAGGTTTGATAATGACAGGCGGTCCAGGGAGACCTGGAGGGCCCGGGGGACCAGCAGGGCCTATTGGACCAACGTGCCCACGAGGCCCCTCTATCCCTGGAGGTCCTGCTTCTCCTCTAGGTCCCTGGGGTCCTTGTGGTCCTGGCAATCCAGATTTTCCATCCAACCCAGGAAATCCATTAGCTCCAGGGTCGCCTTTCTCACCAGGGGTTCCAGGTCTACCTCCAATCCCTCTTGATCCTTTAGGTCCTGGAAGCCCACGAGCTCCAGGTAAACCTTTTGGACCAGTCCCTCCTGGTGGTCCAATAGCACCTCTGTCTCCCTTTGGCCCCGCCTGGCCTGGCATTCCTTTGTCTCCTTTATCACCTTTTTTCCCTGTCTGACCCATTGGGCCTTGGGGACCTGTATCACCCCTGGAGCCTTTTGGACCTGGTGGACCTAAACCAATAAAATGTGCTTGTTAGCATTAGGATTCTTTGGATCTTAACATTGAAATACATATATTTATTCTATTGTGTCTATTGAAACAGGTGTGCTACTACTAAGAGGTAAAGCAGATTTTGTACAAGAAATCCACTTCCAGCAACAATCATTTACCCTAAAGAATGTTCTTTGTGAATGTTTCCCCAGCTAGTTTCCAAACACAGCAATCAAGAAAGTATTTACTCCCATTGCAGCAAAGTCGAGCTCTGTCAGTGACTGAGAGTAATTTAGAAATGTACCTAAATCCAAGGATTCTGTCAAAGCGGTTCCACTTTAAGTTTAGAGAAAGTATGAGTCAGAGGAGTACAAAACTTCTCTCCTGGGGGGATCCAGATGGGATAAAATATTGATAAATTATTTTAACAGGAGGGACTTTCCTTTTACAGCAGATGGCTATAGACAGATATCCATCTAATTTAAAAGAAAGTAGGAACTGTTTTTCAGGGGATACATTTCTATGCTGAATGTTTTGCCTTTACTCTGTGGCCGTGGAAACACATAAGAATAACTATGGCCCCAGAAAACTACCAGAGTTCCTTTAAAAGGTTTGATGTTTTTTAAATGTTAATCTCATAACTTTAATATCATAACTTAATGATAGCAAAGATAAATGTTTATCACCTGTACTGAACTCATAATTATTTTTTCAGTAACATATATCCAACATGCTCACAAATAATACTGTTTCTACTTACCCTGCAGGATTGTGAAGTTGGTAATCAGCTGTGAGTGCTGTTTGTCTACCAGCTTCATCTCCTCCATCACCATAGACAGGTTGATCACTTCTTGGTCCAACCTGCTTGCAAGCTCCTCCTGCTTCGTGCGCAGGTCTTTGCTGTTGGCCTTGACATCTTCCATAGTGGTATTCAGTCCTGCTAACAGGTCGGTATGTCTCATTACTGTTTCAGCGCACGATCTCAAGCCAGTCAGATCAGAGCTGATGACACCTAAAATTTGTGTTGCAAAGCTCATGTTTCCTGTAACGCGGTCCATGTTGCTTTCATGCCTTTCCAATCGTGCTTCCATCTCCTCAAACTTTGATGAGGTGACATTATCGTTATCTCTCTGTCGGTCCATTAGCTCACGTAAGCCTTGGTCATGGGTCTCTGCAATGGCTGAGGTGTTTTGTATTTGACTGGCCAAATCATTCAGCTGGGCTCTCAAATCATTTAGTGTATCTCCATTGGATGTGGCCAGAGCAGAATTATTTGCAGCAAGAACCTGAAGATTCTGGAGTTTTTCTTTCAACCACTGTGAGTCTGAACGCGTTCGATTGGCTGTTTGCTGCAGAATCTGATAGTCATTCTTTAGCTTCTGTACTGCCTGGCTAACATCTTCAACTGTCTTCTGCAGCGTGCTGAGCAAGTTCTGCTGCTGGCCTTGGGTGATATTAAGAAAACTGATGCTAACTTGAGCCTCACTTTGCACTTTGACCTGGTCCTGGAGCTCAGACTGGAGCCGCGCAGTGTCTGCCTGCAGGTCATCAATCATTCCACTGTAGGAAGCCAAGGACTGGTTGATCCCTCGCAGTGAGTCTGCGTTGCCAGCCAGAAAACTTTGAAGCGAGAGATGGCCATTCTTCATGTTGTCTCCTGAGACCAGCAGTTCTTCTAATATGTCTCTGTTGTTTGATGATTTACTGCTAATGTCGTTCAGTTGGTTTTGCAATGCTTCCAGATCTGATTTGAAGGTATTAATTTCACTGGTGGCGTTGAGGGACTTCTCTTCTGCTTGATCATCTGTAAAAAAGACTTCAGCATAAGCAGGCTATACAGCATCATTTAGAGATGCATTAATCAGGCCAATACACTTTTGTTTTTACCGATAAAATGATATTGCATGTTAATGGTGCCAAGATTAAGGCTATTTGGCACCCCGGGATTGGCACCAATACTACGCAATAATATCAAACAGATTTTTTTAATTGTGAGGACTGTAGCTTTAGTAGCTAAGGAAATAAATACAATTTGGTGCATGTACTTTTAAAAAGGATTTAGATTTGAATCTGACAGAAAATGATTTAGTTTGATTATCCTAACGCATTCTTAAGTAGTTCTGTTATCGTCAGATGTTTTTAGTAAAAGGAAAAAAAAAAAAAACAGGGCATTTAAGTACAATATATGTCTTTGGTTGGTGCAATACCCGGGTGAAATAATTGGTTATTGCTATAATGGGTAAAATAAATGGGAACTTTCCTGAAAAACACAACATGTTCAGCATTAGAACTTAAAATCACAGATCTGAACCGATTTAGGGAAACTTCCTTATTCCAAACATTGATTTAATGATTAGTCCATCTCTAATATTATTATTAATGAAAAACTTAAAAAGTCATTATTCCCTTTGAATGAGTGTATGATGAAGCTACCTAATTCTACACAGACTTACCTAGTTTCTTGAAGTCCATTTCCACAGCATCAATCTTGACCCCATAATTCTGCATGCCCTCTGTGACATTGTCCATCCTCTGAACAACTAGAAAAAGACACATTTTTATGGAAACTGACACACATAATGTGGATTTAATCATTCTTTAAAATTTCTACTGTCTTTGGAACAGTTATCAAATAAGTAGTAGAATGTAGAATATTCTTGTTTTTTTTTTTTTTTTTTTTTTTTTGCAGAGCTGACAGTTCATTTATACCAGCAGAGGGTGCTGTTGTATTTTTACCTACGTGGAGGGAGTCACCAGGCACACGTTAATCTTTGGATTCATCCAAAGCTAAAAGTTAAGGAAGTTATTATTAACTCCACTTCAGGAGTATAAATGTGAAAGACTATTGGAGTTGCATATCCTTATAGTCTAATTATTTTTTCTCTCATGTCTTTTAATCTTTCTCAGTAGGTGGACGTCTATGAACTCAAGTGGAAAACATTCTAAATTGTCACTGTTGTCATTCCAGGAGGGACAAAAACACAAAGCAAAAACATTCCCTAAGGTTAAACAAAACAAAAGCATGAAAGAACTCTTGGCCAACTGCTCTAGCGCCTATACATGTCTTTCTTTCTTTATCCGTCTAAAATCTCTCCCTATCAATTAGATAAAGTTCAGTTTATTTATATAGCACCAATCCACAACACAAGGTTTAAAAATTATTTAAAAACAACCCAAATAGTCATACTTCTGAAGCATTTAATTCCAAAATAACAATTAAAAACATTTGCTGTCAGTTTATTGCAATATAAGTATAATAAAAAAACAGATATCGTTTGTCTTAGTTTATTGAACTAGTGAGTGATTAGTGATTTCAATCAAACAATGTAAATTTATTGTTTGATCAGATCCAAAAGGGATCAGATCCAACAAAAAAATGCATTAAAATTTGACTAACATTATGTTTAGAGGGTGATCAGCGCGTTGCTTTAGTCTCTTTGTAATAATGTAACTGTAAATTACCTTTAATGTATTAAACATATCAGTTAATTTACTGTTTTTTTTGTGTGTGTGTGTGTGTGTGTGTGTGTAATTGGTGTTCTAAAAAGCAACCTCAAAGTCAGCTCACACTTTCTTTATATTTAGAAATAAAGGTAATTTATGCTTTATTTTGAAAGTCTCTCAGCGAGACCTCTAGACTTCAGTTTTTTGTTTTTTTTTGCTTACTAACAGGTCAATCATAGTAGTTTTCAATTCAGAAGTTTTTTAAAGGGACTAGCACCTGGCTTTAAAGGGCACAGGGTTTGTTTGAATTATTTTTCATGTTATATTGTGTCCGATTTGAGTTTGATGATTGTTTGATAGGTGTAACATGTGTTAGCGGTAGCAAGCTTTAGCCATGTATGTGCATGTCTATTTATAGCTAAGCTAATTTGTTTGTTTTATTAATAGATCAGAATAATTTGTGTGTTTATCTACGATCTGCTAATTTTAAACAGTTGTTCATTGGATTAAAAGGAAAGCTAATTGTATTTCTTATTTTCTTATAGCTCTTACTGTGAGTTCATATAATGCCTTCAATGATTGTTCTAAAATAAAAGAATATGTTTAAGAGTCAGAACATCAACTAGCCAAGACTACAGTCCCTCCACACCATTGATCAAGGGAAGCTGCCGAGGGACTTGATGTGATGGTCAAGGATTGTGACACCTATACAACATGGAAGCATCAACCAAAACACCTCAGGAAGACAGAGACTCTGAACAGACAACGGATAAGGCAAATGAAGAAGAGCATCTCCGTTGCTCTGGTTGTGTACGGAATCCAATGAGAAGATGCTTGCATATCAGGCAGAGGAGGCTTACAAAAAGGAAAAAAGGGTTAGCTCACATTTATGAACAATGTAAAACCCTAGGCTAGAGAGTAACTAAAGGAAAACATTCCTAAAAGTGACAATGCAGCTCTTATAGACACACTGGAGGAAGGAAAGAGTCGTGTTGGTAACATATATGGGAATTAGAGCTCACCTCACTCCATTGATGCTTGTGAGGCAGTTACAAAGGACATTATAAAAATTGTTCTTGAAAGGATATCAGGCATTGATGGAGAATATGACGGTGAAACAGTAAGGTAAATTCTACACGAGCTTCTTAACAGAGATTATGCTTGCTCCATCTACGGCTCCACAGCTTCACCTTCAAGTCGTCACTCAAGTAAAGGTTCCAGCTACTACTCTGTCATAGCTGCAAAAAGAGCAGATGCTGAGCCAGAACTAGCAGCTAAGGAAGTGGAGTATGTAGTGTTGTTGGAGGAGGAGAAACAAAAAGAAAAGATTCAACTGCTAGAGGAGCAACAGAGGAACAAACTTGAGGCTCAAAAACGCAAACTGGAAAGATTCAAGGCAGAGAAAGACATGAGAGCTGCACGAGTTAGGTTCACAACCTATGTTTAGGAAGTCATGCAGGAAGCAAGTGTTCATTCTACTGAGCAGAGGAGAACAAGAGAACTTACAGGGGTCTCGAACCGGTTCCATAAAGGGCCGTGTGGCTGCAGGTTTTCTTTGCAACCAAGCAATAGCACACCAGACTCCATTCATCAAGTCATCATGTTCAGATTGCATTCAGTTGATGAGATGACTGAAGTCTGGTGTACGATTGCTTGGTTGGAAAGAAAACCTGCAGCCACACGGCCCTTTCTGGAACCGGTTTGAGACCTCTGAACTACAGCATGTGTATTCTGAACAATCTGTGTCCTCAGCTCTCCTCCAGTGGCCTACTGGTGTCAGAGAGACTGTGTCACATGCACGGACAAATGTAAGTTATCTGGCTCAAGCTGTCCAAGATAGCATAGCTTTGAACAGGTTTCCAATGCCAGAACCATCTGTATTTACTGGTGATCCTATTCAGTTTGTTGAATGGAAGGCTTCATTCACATCTCTTATTGATAAAAAGAATATTGCTTCAGGTGATAAACTGCATTATTTGAAAAAATATGTTGCAGGCCCAGCTAGAAAGACACTTGATGGCATATTTTATAGAAATGACGATGAAGCTTATAATGATGTATGGAACTGTCTCAATAGAAGGTATGGTCAGCTATTTGTTATACAAAAGGCATTCAGGGTAAAACTAAAAAACTTGCCAAAGAGCCATCCAAAAGATGCAGAAGGACTCAGAGAATTTGCTGACTTTTTACACTCATGTCTAGAAGCAATGCCTTATATTAAAGGTCTTGATATTTTAAATGATTGTGAAGAAAATCAGAAACTTGCTCAAAAGCTACTGGGTTGGACAGCATCACAGTGGAATCGGAAAGTCACCCAAGTCATGAGAGAAAATCAAGAATTTCCCACTTTCCAGAAGTGTAATCCTATCGCCTCATTCCAATGCTCTCCATTTATCAGAGGCTAACCCTTCACGTCATCTGAAGGAAAAGAAATATAAATCTAGTGTTTATCACATGCAAGCAGTAACAGAGACTGAAACTCAAGGACATTTGAAAATAAGTCTAAAGCCACCATGTATGTTCTGTCAGAACAGTAAACATCTACTTCATCATTGCCCTGAGTTCAAAAGAAAAGATCTGGAGGAACGACGGAAGTATGTGAAAGACAAGAAACTTTACTATGGCTGCTTGGAGACATAATGCATAACCATAATGCAAAAGATTGATGTAATAGACTTTTATGTGAGAACTGCTAAGGAAGACATCCTACACTTCATCATGACGATAATTACACCAAAGCCAAACCCGCATCAGTCCCAAATATAAGCACTACAGAGGAAACAGCATAGACATTGTCTCTTAGTGTGATAACTAAGGAATCATCTACTAACACTTTGATGATCGTGCCTGTGTGGGTTTCTTCTATCAGTAATCCAGTTATGGAAAAACTTGTCTATTCTCTGCTTGATAGTCAAGTGATAGGGTTTTTATTGATAAAGAACAGTTTGCTAGTCAAGACGCATCCTGTAGGTTGAAGCTAACAACGACAGGAAAGGACACATTAATGCATAGTCAAAGACTGTTGGATTTGAGAGTGAGGGGTTACAGCTCTGACATCTACATCAATCTCCCCCCTGTTTACACCAAGGACTCCATACCAGTGAATCAATAGCACATTCCTACCTGTGACACGGCATGACACTGGAATAATCAAATTAAAATAGCAGATGAAATCCCATCGCAGCTGGAGTATGAAGTTGGTCTGCTGATCGGCTAAAATTGCTCAGGAGCACTGGCACCACGGCAGATAATCCTGTTCATTGCCTCATCATGACTCACCAAGCAGCACCAACATGTGTCACAAGGTTTTTGTCAGAGAGCTTCCTCCTGTAACCCCAGCAGAGGCCCTCAGGGTCCTTGAATCTAATTTTAAAGATGCTAACAATGATGAAAAGACTGTTTCTTAAGATGACATCCACTTCCTAGATGTGTTAAAGGAAGGAATCGGGAGAAAGAGTAATGGACATTACAAAGCCACTCCCCTTTAAAAAGAGACCCTATCTCCCTAACAATAAGCAACAAGCTATGGTACGGCTCAGTCACCTCAAAAGAAAGCTAGTGAAAGATGACAAGTACAGAGAGCACTATATGAAGTTTATGGATGAAATTATCCAAAAGGGTGAAGCAGAGGAGGTTTGTGATCAAGGAAAAGAAGGAGAGAGATGGTATATTCCCCACCACGGAGTCTATCACTCTAAAAAACCCGATAAACTCTGTGTGGTTTTTGACTGTTCTGTCAAGCACAAGGGAACAAGCCTGAATGACCAACTTCTGTCCGGCCTTGATCTGCTAAATAATCTGAACAGTGTGCTTCTCAGATTCCGGCAGCACCACATTGCGTCGATGTGTGACATAGAAAAGATGTTCCATCAGTTCTATATTTATGAAACTGTCAGAGTCTATCTACGCTTCTTGTGGTGGAGAGACAGTAACAATGCAGAGCCACAGGAATTCAGAATGAAAGTGCATTTCTTTGGTGTGGTGTCATCGCCAGGATGCTCTAACTATGGACTGAGACAGCTCGCTAAAGACAATGAGACTAAATTTTCCTTTGTATCACAATTCATCATGGAGGACTTTTATGTTGCTGATGGTGTTACCAGTATAGAAAATGTGGATGATGCTATTCAGCTTGCACTGCTGCGATTTATTGCCCCTTTTCTGCTCACTGGAAAAAGGGTGCTTCAGGAAATATGTAGACATGGCATAGGCTGGGACGATCCCCTCCCCTGTGAACTGCAACCAGTGTGGGAGTGGTGGTAGAAGGATCTTACAAATTTGGAGAAAATCACCATACCATGCTGCTATGTGCCTCCTGGTTTAGGCCGAGTTGTGGAAAAGGAGCTACATCATTTTTTTGATGTGAGTACATGTCATCATGGACAGTGTTCATATCTAAGACAAGTGAACAAAGATGGAAGTGTTCATTGTTCTCTGGTCATGAGAAAATCCAGATAGGCTCCAGTCAAGGTCACAACGATATTTCGGCTAGAACTGGTAGCCGCTGTTGTGTCAGCGACAGCAAGCAACACTTTGAAGGAAGAGCTTGGTTTTAACAGAATATATTCACGAGGCACCTCGTTTTCACACCTTTGTCTCAAATCAGATACAGAGAATACATCTCAGCTCCTCTCCTCAGCAATGGGGATATGTCTCAACCAAAGATAACCCTGCAGATGATGCATCCAGGGGATCAAGTGCAAGTGAGATTCTCACATCGAGTTGGTTTCAGGACATCAGTTCTTGCAGGAAAAGGAGATTCCTCCAGCTACAAATGTTTGCACACAAATACGGACTGGAGATCCTGAAGTGAAGAGGATTCAGATTCTAAAACACAGACACAGGAACAGTTAAGTTTCTCAGATCGCTTGTCAAAGTTTTCTTCATGGTCAAAGGCAATAAAATGCTGTTGCTTGTCTTATCCGTCTTGATAGGAATGACAACTCGACAAACCACAGCACTGTATAAGAGTGTAAACCGTTTCAGATGGAGGCCTTTCTTGATCAGGATGGTGGGAGGAAGACTGAAAAATGCATCACTTCATACCACACTAAAGCATCCAGTCATTATGCCGAAAAATCCTCACATCACTAAGGCAATATTTGCTCATTGTCATGAGAAAGTGCAGCATCAGGGTAAGGGTCTAACTATTAATGAGATTAGATCAAATGGATTCTGGATTCCAGGAATCAACAGAGCTGTGGCAACGCATTTACATCAATGTGTTACATGTCGGAAACTCAGAAGGTTCACCGAGGAACAACATATAGCAGATTTGCCATCTGAGGATGTGGATCCATCACCACCTTTCACCTACTGTGGGGTGGACTGTTTTGGTCCATTTCACTCCAAACAAGGATGCAAGGTAAAAAAGATATACAGCTTGCTTTTCACCTGCCTTTGCTGTCGAGCTATCCACATTGAAATGTTAGACGACAGGACAACTGATGCCTTCTGAATGGACTCCGATGTTTCATTGCCATAAGAGGAGCAATATGCGACATAAAGTGCAACCAAGGAACGGACTTCATTGGAGCTAAAAATGAACTGAATTAAGCTCTTAAGCAAGTGGATGCTAACCGCCTGACTACATTATTGGCTAAGAAACAATGTGACTTTTGTTAATGCTCCACATGCATGAGTTTGATCATTGTTTGATGGGTGCAACATGTGTTGGCGGTAGCAAATGTTAGGACTGTATTGGACTATTTATAGCTAAGCTAATTTGTTTGTTTTATAGTTATTTCAGAATAATTTGTGTGTTTATCTAGGATCTGCTAAGTTTAAACGGTTGTTCATTGGATTAAAAGGAAAGGTAATTGTATTCATTATTTTCTTATAGCTCTTACGGTGAGTTCATATGCTGCCTCCAATCACTAAAATAAAAGAATAATAAGCCTCAGTTAAAGAGTCAGACTATCAATTAACCAGAATGCTACAGTAATAATAAACATAAATCTATGTAGCTGACAATACTGTTGTAATCAATGTATAAAATAATAGTAAATTAAGGAATATATGTTGTCTGTTTTAAATAAAATGTATTGGATCATTTTATTTTTGGTTTTTGCTGTAAATACTGTGAAAGCTGTGTAATTACTCTTAAAAATATCAGAATAAATACCTTCTTAATCTCCTACTAACCCTTCATTAAAATTTAAATCCCTCTCTCATCTATGTTTGTGACTGAAAATTAAAGGCAAAATCTTTGTCTGCCTGAAGCTGAGTATTGATGCCAAAATGGGATTTAAACAGCATCAATTTCATGCGTTAAATGGAGTACAATGATTGGTTGATTTAATATGACCATAAATGACATGTCTATTGGCCTTGTTTTTGGAGGACTGAGCCTGGAGTATATTTTTTTGCACGCTCAAACTAAAGTACATCTTGAAGAAGGTTTTGTTAACTTACTAGCCCATAGGTAATGGAGCTTGTTAAGACGCTAAATGACAGAGCTGGTGGCTACAATGGGTTAAGGTATTCAAACATTAATATTATAGTAGGTGAGGTAGACTACACACAATAGACTAAAACAAAAGAGCAAAATCCAGCCTACAATATTTTTCTGTAAAGTTTAACTGTCTTTGACAATTGCAGTTATTTGTGAGTCAACTTGTAGTTCACGAGAAAACAAATTGCTCCAGAGTAATAAAAGCCTTCCCTGGGTTGTTAAGCCATGGTAGTCCCCACATGGTCATCTGGTACACGTTAGAGGCAAACCATCAAAATCACATTGGCTCCAAGCCAACTCAACCCTAAAGCTGGAAACCTACAAAAACCCTGAAAACTCTTAAAAGACAAAGAGTTGGATTTAGATTGTGACTTTTAGATCTTCAATTGAAGATATTTCTACTGGCTAAAAAAGCCTTTTCAATGCTTATGAACCAGTTAACACTTTAGAAAATCTTGCTGAAGATGTTTTAACAGGTTTGTTGTGATTGATTTGGGCCATGGTTATGTAAAATTGGACAGTCCTATTCTCACACTGCTTTGGATCACTGAAATGTGTATGTCTCTATTCAATATTGTTTAGGTTGAAACCACCGAAATTCCTCACAGCGAGGCCAGTGTGGCACATTGTGTTCAAGTCATAACTAATCTCCAAAGACATCTTTTATTCAGACATAAAACAAAAGTCTATTTCAGGTTAGGAAGTAAGTGCACTATTAACAAACGTTACCATATTGCTACTTACAATTTATTTTTGAACTTTACTCAGTCATATTTTTTTCTATTATTATATATCTTTATATTATTACATATCTGCTTAAAGGTTAATAGACAAATGTAAATTTAGCATGCACTTACAGCCCTCTCCACACCAGGTTAAAGTACCCAGGGCCTCTATTATAAAAAATTTTCTACTGTAGAGTGAAACTGCTTCCCTATGCAGAAGATATGCAATTTCTTAGGATAGGCTGTTGATGAGCATCCAACTGCCTTTCAGCTGCTGTTGGGATTATTTTATATTTAAGACTGGTGATAAATATGAAGAAGTTATCCAGAGAGATCAGCCTGTAGTCTGTTTGCCCACTTTAATTTTGTGTGTGACTTCACATTCAGACCTCCATTGGTCAATAAATTTTATTTCCATTGATGATTTTTGTGTGGATTTGTTGTCAGCAACAACAACAACTTTGTACAGAACAATGTATGCAATGAGAATATTTCATCCATTCAGATCTAGAATGTGTTATTTGAGTGTTCCATTTATTTTTTTAGCTATGTATTTCTTGGCCTTCAGAAGAGGTGTGATATGACACCTTGAAATGGGCAGCAGCCAGACAGAAGAGATGGCTTAACTTTGTAGACAAGTGTTTTTCTAAAGGGTTGGAAGAAAACAACTTATACTTCCTTATTACTTAATACCCTGTTGTGCAAACTGTATTATTTTACCATTCATTTGCCTATAATAAACTTTGAAAGGCTTAAGAGAGCATGATATTGCACATTTTAGTCTTTTAAAATCTTTTGTCTTTTTTTTTGGCATTTTACCCACTGGAAGCTGCTGCTCACATTGTATTGGTCTGCATTTTATGTTTGAATTCTCCTCTGATATTGTATTACATGTGTTGTTTTTATTATTTTATCGTTTTTATGCTGTTCAGCACTTTGGTAACAGTTTGGATGCTAAGTTTCAGAAGCAGAATATTGTCACGATTATCAGGGAAGTTATGATGTTAGGGCATTGTAGTTCTTCATGGTGATGAAGATGGAAAACTAAAATAGGAAATTTAAATTTGAAACTTTACATAATGTAATTGAAGTCCAAATAATTTTATACCTTAATTAAACACCTTTAAAGGCCTCAAATTGTGATTTTGAACACTAACACTTTTTAAACTTAAAGGTATAGTGACGGATTTTCGGGATTTTTTGAAAATACCAGCCCTTTCCACTAAAAAAAAAAAAAAAAATGCACCCACTCCCTAGAGGGAACGACTATTAAACACATGCAAGAGCATTAAAAGTTGCTGTTTGCATCGCTCATACAAGCTTACTTTCCAACAGAAGATTTTAAATTTTTCCACTATGTCAGTATCACCACCATAAGTGAAAATGGGGACGAGCACATAGGACAGCCTTACGTAAACATATCACCAGAATTAGGAGGACCCTCTATTTTGATGATCCACTCGGAAAAAGAACATCCTCCACTATACCTTTAAGGCCATGTTGAAAGTCTGTCATATTCAATAGTAAAGTTTGCATACAAAGAGTAACTTCTACTTTAACTTACCTTTGTATCCAAGGACAGCCACGGCGATGGTGAGAAGAGCACAGAGCACATAGAGGAGAGCGATGGCTGCCCTTAGTACCCAATCATTTTTACACTTTGTGCACTCACTTCCCTCCTCAATTCCTGCAAAACAAATCAGGATCTGTTACTAATCTATCTGCAGAATGCAGTGAATCATGGATCAGTACTGGAAGCATTTGTATTTGGAACAACATATGAGAGTAGAATAAAACTTAATGAGGCAAGAAAAATAGAATGTGCTAGGTGTTTTGAATTCTTTTTAAAACTACTTTTTATTCAACATGTCAACACTGGGACATGTTGTACCTTCTGTCAGCCAAGAGCGAACAGAAAACATTTGGTCATGAACCGAAAAGTCAGCTCACAATGAAACTGAAAACACGACCCATGTGCTAACCATACGGCAAGACAGCATTCCTAACCGCCAGCTGACCTACAGCAAGGCAGCAGAGAAACTTGTGATAATTCATCTTACAGATGTTCACTGAAACCTCTTAGTAACCATCCACAGCAAATAATGCAATGATAAACATTTAGCAGGATGTTTGCTTTAGTTCAGTTAAACCAATCAAGTTGCTTCCAGCGAGCAAAGCAAGAAGGCAGCTGGATAAGTCAGTGAAGGGGCTTATACAAACTTAAGATTAGGTTTAACGGCCAGAACAAAAGACAATTTATGGAAACTTAATGCAGCTTATAATGTATATGCATGTTTGCTTCTTGTTTTTCCAAGAACATGAAGCAGACAACAACGGACGCTCATCAGAGCATCCTTTGAGGAAACGTATTAATTTGTTGTCGGCATCATAGCATTTACAGCAGCATTAGTAGTTAGGCTCAGTTTTGACAAGCCTAGTTCTTTTATTGCTTTTTAAAGACAACTTTGTACTATTTGAGTTTCACATAAAACTGCGTTATTGTTAGGAAACCAGTTTGTGTGGGTTGTGTTTGTGGTTGTTCTCTCCTTCCACCAGCAGGTGGCGCCCTGTTGGCTCATTACTGAGGACTATTTGAGCGGTGGACTGTCACTAGCTCAACGCCAGAGTGTTTGCCAGTTTTGGGTACTCTAGCCAAGCTGAGAATTGCTGAGTCTAACTGAGTCTTTGTTTTTTTTCGCTGAGCCTAACCTTGTTTTTTGTCTTTGCCTTTTCGGCAGGAAGCTTTCCTGCAAGCTGGATGTTTGGCCTTCTTCCCCTGGAACGATTGTTTGAGTCTCACACTGAGCAGGGGATTAACCACCACAAGTTCCGTTCAAGTCCTCCTGGATTCCCAAGTGACAGTCCGCTCAATAGTTCCTCAGGATCCAACCAAGTCTAAACCTGTCCACCCTCCAACGAGTCTCTATCTCCAGATAACCCACACTAACTGGATTCTGGGAGAAGAGGTCTTCTCAACCAATGTGAGTCCCATTTTCTCTGTCTCTCCAGTCATCGCTCAAAGTTCCCACAGATCCTGAACTAAACGTTGATACTTCCCTTCCCTCTTCCAGTTCCGGTTCACCAGCACACTGAGTTTCCTGAATCCTACCCCCGCTGTCCTTATCAATAAACCTGTTCAAACTTTTACTCTGGTTCTCTGATTGGTTTACTGCAAATGGATCAGATCTCTTAAGAAAATCATGACAATTATGTGGACTCATTTTAATATTAGAGATTTAGACTCATGTCTAACCTCTTTACAGCAGTTTATTGCTCCTTAAGCAATCAAGCAAACAGAAAACAATTCCTCCACGCTTCTCTTAGGCTAGTAAAAAAAATAAAAAAACATACGCCGACCCAGATGCATGATGGTCCTACCATTGACAGCTTTTTTATAAACATAATTCACCCAAATTGCTCATAACCAACCAAACTAAACAAAGAAACATAACCACATAACCAAAAAACATAATCTAAAAACAAATATAATACAGTAAAGTAAAATAAATAAACTTAATAGATTATCCACAAAAATAAAAACTAATTATTAGAAAAAAATAATTGGCTCCTACAAAATGAATGACACACGTTGTTGAAGCGGCATTTTCTGTACATATCCTCTGCATTTTAAGATGTTTCATGATCACAAAGTTGGATTTATGCATTTATTGAATATCTTAACATTTACTGTATTTTTAAAAAAAACATTTATTGGTTAATGAAAAAGCAGATTCGTAACATTGACTTCTCCTCTGAGTTGTTTGTTGAGGGGTTGTTTGAGTGGTATTAGTACAATGATTGTAAATTCACAGTGACTATGTTCATTTGTGGCTACACAATTTGCAACACTGTTGCCTTGTAGCAAGAAGGTCCCGGGTTTGATTCCAGCCCCATGGAGTACCCCGCCTTTTGACCCATAGACTGCTGGACATAAGCACCAGCCCACCATCACCCCGATGGATGAACCGGGAGTAGATGTATGGATGGACATATGTATTTAAATATTTTTTGTAATTTATGTTTATTTAAATTACTGTCAATTATTTTCCCAATACACCGGTAAAAATGCAAGGCCTTAGTGTAACTACGTAGCAAAATATTATTATTCCCCAGTAATGTATTGAAATATCACAGATATGAAATTGCAGTAAATTGCTTTGAGTATGTTTCATATCACTATAATCCTTACTGTAAACTCATGCAAAACATATTCGAAAATGTACAGAAAAATAACTCTGCATTTTGCAGGTGCACTGCCTCACTGCACCTGTAAAATTAAATCTTTTCAACATTTTCTTCTTCACACATGCAAGAAATCTTAGTCTGTACATTTGAATCACATGAGCAGCAGTAATAGAACTTCAGCTAACTTTTCCTAGGAAAGGTTGGGCAGGACCGCAAGAGAGGTACTGGGGTTTAGCCTTTCTGTTTTGGAACCACACATCTGTACAAACATCCCTACTGACCAGGGTCAGATCCCTTCTCCAGGGATCCCTTTATGGACCCAGACCTACATACACAGACAGTTGTTGTCCTGAGAAAATTGATGGGGGGGCAGAGAGGAATCCTCGATTAGAGGAACCTCTCTGTTCCTAACCGCATGCTGTTAAAAGTGTGACATAACAACATGTAAACAGGCTGCTAGACGCCTGCCGGTCCTGGGTCAAGAATCGGGGGTGGGGTGGTGGGGGGTGATGTTAAGTCTCTGTTAATTAGTCTGTGAACAACAGTTGGGAAACTTGTGTTTTTCACATTTGTAGTCACCTGATTTCAAGCACAACCAACCAATCAAAAGCAAATTTTCACCTCATATATATATATATTTTTTTTTTACTTTTTATAACTTCTTTCTTGTTTTGACACACGCATTACAGGCATAAAACATTTTATGTACGTATATTAACACCAACAAATTTCTATCAATATGTACTAGAAATTTGACTGATACTGAAACTCATAATATGTAGTACTAAACCCTAACCAACATATATGTATATTTTGAAGCGTATGCTGTTCATCCCAACAGTATTTAGTGTTTCTTGCATTATGTAACCTGGCAGAGACAGGATATGAAACTGTGTGCCATGTTCTCCACACCGTGGCACTTCCAGCAAAGTAAGAGGAAAATTCACTCTGAGAGGAATATGGCTATGACTCTTTCCAGAGGAGGAGATTTTCCACTGTTGTGCTTGTCTGGTATTTCAGTCTCAATCTAAGGGATTTTTGCTGAAAAAAAAAAAAAAAAACTGTTCCGCCTCATGGTGCACAGACTAAAGAGGATGAATAAAGGTTTCCAGGGAAGTTGCAATTTATTATTTAACTAGATTCAGGGGGGAAAAAAATCTTCCTTTTAGGAAGGAATGATTTAAGAAGCCAAAGAGTTTGTTTATATATATATACAGTGGGGCAAAAAAGTATTTAGTCAGCCACCAATAGTGCAAGTTCACCCACTTACAAAAGATTAGAGAGGCCGGTAATATTCATCATAGATATACCTCAACTGTGTGAGAGA